ATTTCGGGGGGGGGGGGATCCCCCCCCCGGGAACACCCGTGGGGGGGAAAGAGGGGGGCGCCGCCCACAGGATTTTTTGGGGGTTCCTGAAAAAGGCCCTTGGGTGCCAAAAAAATTTTTTTCGGGTCCAAGAAGGGTCCCCCAGAAAGGGGATGGGGGGGGCCGGGGGGGGGGGGGGGGGGGGCGTACTCTTATGTTTTGCATGCCTTAGCGGTTAGATCATTGACTACGAATCCTCGAGAGGATGGAGCATTGCCCACAGGACCGATCACCGATGGCCAATCGTTCCCCTACGTTGCCAAAGGTGCCTCAAAATGTCTCTCGCTCATACATCTATCCTATCGATATCATTTCCAGCCTTTTCAGCCCATGTCCTATGTGCCAGTACAGTCATTACCGTCTTTTTCTGTCTATCCCATGCCTCAAACGTCTCCCCGTATCTTCATTCTACTTTTCCCAGCTCAGTCATTTACACTTTCCTCTCCTTCTTGTACGACGGACATTCCGCAACTACATGAACACGGTCTTCGCACGCGGAGCCGCATTCACCTTTGAACTTGTCGTCTTGATCGTAAATCCTCGTCTACGTTCTCGAGGGCCAATTTCCCGGTCCTAAATTTGACCTTCAGCTTTGTCCCTGCATCCATTGGTTCATGTTGGTACTCATGGAACCCTTTTGTTTCTTTTTCATTCCGTACACTTCTAGACCCTCTTTATCCTTGGTTTCTTTGGTTAGACTATGTTCTTTCTCGGCAAAAGCAACAGATATCTTCTCCTCGAACCCCTCTAGTCCTTCCGTTTCGAGCGTATCACCTTCATCAATTTCGAACTCCTTCCATACGTCATCTACAACCTTGACCCACTCCGTTGGTTGACTACCCCTCTTCTTGTTAGCCCACTTCGCCTCCCAAGCTATTCTCGGCAACCTCTCCTCTCCCATACCGCACATGCGTTACTGCCATTTTTGCTTCCTTGCGTCTCTTACCGATCGTAGGGATAGGATCCCCAGTTCCGCCCTGACGGCTGCATTACTTGTGCGCTTGGAGCATCCTAGGATGATTTTCACTGCTTTCATCTGCGCCGCCTCGAGCTCGTTGACTTCTTATATCTTTCCCACACTTCCCCGGCGTACCCTAGCGGCGGTACGATTACGCTCTTAAAAAACTGTCAATTTGATGTGTGTATCGCGGTGCCGGTTTATGGGGATTGGGTACAACTTCCCTGCCCGTGCTTTGCCTTTTTCCGCTACCGTGGACATGTATGCACTCCACGAACAGTCTATTGCGATATCTACTCCGAGATATGTGTACGGATCCACTACTGCAAGCTCCTCGACCCCCCCCTTCCATCTATACCCTACTGGTTTCTCCCTGTCCTCGTTGCATACCATGAGGGCACTCTCCTAAACGTTGGCAGACAATATCCCCTTACCATGTCAACAAAATCCTTCGCTGCGTCAATCTGCAGTAGAAGTCATGGGTATCTGACATCCCAACAAAATCATCCGCACACAGCATTCTCGACACCGAAGTTTCCCTACCTTTACTCCCTTCCCAACTGCCTCTGCGACTTTCAACCAATCGTTGATGAACACCTGGAACAATGTTGGGGACAAAATGAAACTTTGTGGGACCCCCTGTTCAATGTTGAAGAATCTAGCATGACACCACTTTTCCTACACTCACAGGGGAGGGGGGGCGGAGTTATACCCAGGGCAACCTCACCAGGCTAAGTAAAAACATGTTGGTGATGTACGGACACTCGCTGAAAGTTTGGGCATCGGGGTACCCCACGAATCAACTCCGCATGATGGTATGTGCTTTTCCAAACCTGGCGATTGGCATCTGCAAGTTCCCAGACGCTGGCACGAAATGGTCAAATCCTGGCCCCGACCGCGCGCGTGGACATCATAACGATAACCTCTGTGCACTGCCCCGGAATGTGTGCTCCATTTGAATAGGTCTTCATGGACGTCGACGAGAAAACTCCTTGCGTGTTCATACTCTCTCGGGGGGCTGACCCCATGGCCCTGCTAATGAAATTTGCTGCGTCTGTGGGCATGGATAACCAACTGGAAGTTACGTCCTTAGGCAAAGGGCAAGGTCCCCGAGCCGAGGAAGTGATCAAGGTAAAAGAATAAGGCGCGACATCTCGGGCTGTCAAAGTACCCTAATTGGACCATCAACAACAAAAGGCGTGCTCTTGTGCTATCTGGAAGTTGTCGAGATACTGTGTTGGTGGGCCAGAAAGCAGGCCGGAACTTGAGAATATCGAGAGACACGCGTCGTGGCCATTAAACGTTGGTCCGCCTTTATGGCTCTTTTCTCACGTTTCGTGCTGAAACAGGTTGCTAGAGCGAGCGGTAGCTGGGTCATGCTGCAGAACTGCCACCTAGCATGCTCGTGGCTGCCCACCCTTGATGGCATAGTGAAGAGTCTTGGAAGCAGCTCAAGTCACTCCAAGCCCGGCTTCAGGTTGTTTTTGAGTGCAGCTCCAGTGCCATATTTCCCTGCTGGAGTTCTACAGCGGTGTGTCAAGATCACAGATGAACCGCCACGGGGCATTCAAGCAAACCTACGGCGGACGTACAATATGCAGGTATTGTCACCTGCCACACGACGGAAAGGACGTCGTGTTTTTTTCTCTGCATGGATAGACACCCAGTGTGGATCGAGACTGGAGATGTTTGGTGATATCCTAGGCCAAGAAGTTCCGAAGGTGGACACATGTTTTGGTGTCTGGATACCCTGCCGTTTTTTTCGGTTTCCTGCGTGGCGAATTGATAAACGGTCTGATCCGTCTACCCCGCGTTCTCGCTGTCATGGAAAAGATGTCGGGTATCTTGCAGAGAGAGAAACAAGAGGGAATTCAGCGGCCGCCAGAGTGGAAACGCCTTTTGTTTGGGCTGTGCTTCTTCCACGCCGTGGTCCAGGAAAGGTGAGGACAGGTCTTGGGAATTCTCGAGATGGCTCACCATCCCAAGTTGAATCGGTTTGTTCTGCATAGTTTCCCTCCTCGATGCTACGGAGCTCGAACGTAGGTTCGCCCTGTATGCACTACCCACCAACCATGAATTTTTGGAACACCTCTGACCACAGCGGTTCGCAAAGGGTTATTGCCTGTGCCGACCCATTGACCCATTGCCCTACTTTATTTTCCGCAACCGTTTCACTTCGCCCGGGTGTTAGGATTAAGTTCGGCCCCCTCGGCTGGAATGTCACATACAGCTTTGGAGATTCCGACCTTGACGCAGCGTTCAAGCTCTTAGGCCGGTTTGTGGACGACCTCCACATAGATACATCAACGGCGACTCTTGCTTCTCTGCCGGTAGAAAGCCTGGTGTACGTCACAGGAAACATCACCTACGGTGGCTGGGTGACCGACGAGTGGGATCGGCGGTGCCTTCTGGCGATTCTAGACCACTTCTATTCTGCAAGCATTTTTGGGGATGCGGTGAGTGAATCGATCGCCGAGCGAACTACTTACCTCGTAGTAGCGTCTTGCGTGTATTCTCCGTATCGCACCGGTGGCAGAACTCGAGCAGGACAAATCAGCTTCGTTCTCTCGGCAGGGCAGGAAGCAAATAATAGTACCATCTGTTTTTCGTTTCGATGTCAATAGGTCCACATGTACGGTGGAGTGAGTTCGAACCCCGAGCTGAGGGGGGGCATGGAAAACGGAGACGGGCCTTCGAAGGTCAAAGCACGTCTGGTCCGTCGTTTGTCAGCATCATCTGCCATGATTGCCGCGGCGCCTGTCGATGCCCCAGCCGAGAGTTACCTGGCCTACATTGAACACATACCTCCTGAGGATGGTCCGCAGATGTTCGGGATGCACGCTTCGGTATGTGCAGGTCTTCAGAGGGTACATGTCAAATATTCGCCATTTAAGAGGATATCTAGCCTCAACAAGTGCAACCAGTTTGACTATAACATGCGTCCGCTTACCAGAAAGGCTGCAGCGAGAAGTGGACTACACCATGTCGCGCTCGAAATGTTGAACGACGGAGTAGGCAAGGCAACTCTCACAGCAACCTTTCGGCTTCGGTTGCCCTTCCAGGCGGATATTTCTCTTCGTCTCAAGGAGAGCAAGGCGCTTTTGGACGCGATTCTTGCGCTTCAACCGAGGGATTCGAACTCCTCGGCGGGGCAACGCCCCGACGATGTCGTTTTGGCAGTGACGCAAGAGCTGATGGCGAGAATACCGGGATGCTTGACACATCGCAAGGTCGGTCACGGTTTGTCGGCTGTTCACACCCGGGTGGATCAAACTCTTGCAGCACCCAGAATCCTCAGCGTTTCACAAATGCGTTCAGCACTACTGTAGTCCGTCACCACTCGACTGCACCGCCAGACCGTTCATGGATGGCAATGGTTCGAGTGTGCTGGCGGGTACAACCTTCCAGCTTGTCCGGAGTACGAAGGCTAAGTTGGCGCAGCCTGTTTGATGATTCTTGATTTTGCTTCAATATTTGCATTTCTTTAGATTTGGTACAAATGACTCAGACGGATCGAAATAATGCGCTACCCGAAGATACCCAGGATTTCCAACAGCTCCAGCTTTACATTACGAAAAATATCGTCCAACATCACGTTATTCCTTTGTCATTCATCGCATTGAACGGCCTTAAGTCCAAATCACTGGCTAGAGCATTCTAGCTCCAAATTGGCGTGCCGATGCCGCGGCTGGCACCCTCTAATGTTTTTAGAAAGTAAACATAACCTCACAGAAAGACTACCCGTTCGAGATATAATCTCAGTTTTACGAACGTAGTGGACCCAGATGCTATTTTCGTCCAAGTCAGCCATGCACAATGTCTTTCTCATGCTGCCACCAACACGTGCATTGGTAGCGGGCCCTATCTTTCTCTATTGATCAACTCTATAGCTGCTTCAGGTCGTAAAAACGCCATCCCTCCCAATTCGCCTTGAACCCGCTTCGTGATCTGCGCGTCACGTGGTAAAGGAGGGGGCTGTGAACCATCTTACAAGACGCGGATCAAGCGTAGAACCTGGAGCATCGAACACTGACAGCTTGGTGACGGTGTTGATTCAAGAGCTCGACAACTGCAACTCCTTGCTCGAGGTATGGCGTTGTTAGGCGGTCACATGGGTACAGTGAAAACGGCAGCGTGCGTCGTTCAAATACGTACCTAGCGGAGCTCTCATCGCCTTCTTGAGTTGCTTCTTCACCGGTCGTTGCGTAAAAAGTTGAACCGTTCGTGTTTACCTTCGTGCGTGACTCATGTCTCGTTCTCCCTGACCGTCCGTCTTGCTGTCAGATCGTTCGCACAACCGTGGAACAGCTCGTCTTAGCTGTCAAGGGGGAGATAGTTATGAGCTCCGAGCTTGACATGGTGAGACCTAGTGTGACTAGTAGAAAAACTTATCGGATAAAACTGTCGCAATGACATATTGATCCAACGTCGAAATGGCACCTGAGAGTTGGACCTCACCATATCTTGGCAGCGTTCCACGTTGATCTGAATAAGTACGTGAGTGGTCCTCTTCAAAAGCAGAAAGCTATTCCTGATTGCCGTGTTCCACGTTGCCCGGTGTTGGAACCCGTACTTTGCAGGTGTACAGCCAATTCCTGGTCAATCAAGTCCCGGCCGAATGGCGTCGGCGAGGGTTTGCGAGCCTCAAACCTCTGGGGTCGTGGATGAAAGACTTGCGATGGCGTGTGAGGTTTTTCGAGCTGTGGCTAGAACGTGGAAATCCCTATGCGTTCTCCCTGCCGGCGTTCTTTTTCCCACAGGTATGCTGTCGAAATGTTAGAAATGTTGGAACGAGCGCCTCCCTACTCGATTTTGGGATTCTTCATCTTTCATATGCCAGGATTGTCTTAACCCTTAACGTGTTTTGATCGCGCGCGTCTCAGGGCTTCTTGACCGCGGTACTACAAAACCATGCGCGAAAGCACGCGGTGCCGGTCAACCTTCTTGGCTTCAAGTTCGACATTCCCGACATTATGCAACCAGAGGTAGTGATCGATGACGTTGTTGGGGTGTTTGCTGCGGTTTTGCGAGTTAAGGCCTGCCTCTTCGGGAGTGAAACTGTTTGGAGGAGCGTAGTTCCACGTTTTGGATTATATGAGCTATGCTATTCTTGTGGTGTTCGTGCCTCCTTAAGCGTTATTTCCCTTGCTCAATTCTACACTCCCTGCACCTTTCCCTGTCACCCACAACATTGTTCTTCGCAGGAGGCCAAGAACCACCCTTCTGATGGTGTGTTCGTATACGGCATGCACATAGAAGGCGCTTCGTGGGACCACGCAACCAAGCGCCTATGCGATCCAAGGCCAGACCAGATGCGGGCACCAGCGCCAATTGTGCATTTTTTACCCGAAACCGACCACGAGCCCAATCCCGGTGAGCAGCTCAGTGACACACGCTGTTTAATTTAGTGTAACTTGATTTGACTTGGATAGCAGTAGGGCAGAGCCAGTACCACGCCGGACAGAAATCCATTTGGTGTGGTCGGATGCAGTTCTGTCGTACACGGCTTGCGTTGCTTACCACCCTTGGGACCAGGACGGACGGAGTGATAGTCTAGAGATGAAACAGGCAGCGCGGTCGGTAAAACGCATGATCGAAACGAGAATAAATATGGATCACTTTAACGAGGTTATATCTCGAACGGGTAGTCTTTCTGTGATATTATGTTAACTTTCTACAAATATGGATCACTTTAACCAGAAGCTCGAGCCGAGTAGCAACAAGGCTCGGGTCGAGGGATCAACACCCGAGGCCTGAAGAGCTAACGAATGCTGTGACCCTTCGTTCTACTTGATTGCAGCGGACTACATCTGCCCTACGTACAAGACATCGGCACGGAGAGGAGAGCTTTCTACCACCGGCATATCCACCAACTTTGTGGTAGCCGTTGAACTCCCCACCAATATGCCGGTTCGACAGTTTATTCTTCACGGCGCCGCTATGCTGTTGTCGCTGGAGAGTTAGGCTGATCGAACATGTGGCACTGCTTGAGCCTCTCCGGAGATCGATGGGAATTTACGTTGTGTGCTGTATGAAGCCGGCAGCTTGGTACATTGCACTGAAGAGTATCACTCACCACCCCCACTAAGATGTCGTTGATGGCTTGCAATAGAACCTCGCGGCATATACGGAGAGGAGGGCAAAGAGAAGGAAGCCGCTTAACCCTCGGAAAAACTGCCGCAGATTAGTGGTGGTGGAAGTCAATTCAAGGCTATGGTTCGGAGTACTATATTTCTTTCTTCAGAAAGGGTTCCATGCTGCACTTCCAAAGTGAACAGGTTCCTTTACGGAAAATACGTCTATGCTAAACTGGTTTACTATTCTTACATCTGACCTCGGCTGGTGTGTCAAACATGTGCCGAAAGGCGTAGACAGGTGCCCAGACCAATTGGGACGAAAGCCCACCTCCATGGCACCCGAAGGTGTCCACCTGTCTGTCTGCTTGCCTATCAATCGACCCACACTCGTCTATCGTGCTTGGCCTTCAAGACGGCAAAAATTATCCACAAGATCGACCCAAACACTGCCAACGTCGTGGATGCAATTAAGCCTTTCCACGCAGTCTCTAGTGCAAAATCTACGAACATAAAGAACTCTTGGTGGAGAGTTACGGCAGATTTCTCATCCATAACGCGCTGATCATCGAACCACAGGATTGGGACATACCTGCGACATAAGAGATTGATCGCACGACGCCGGAGTTCACCAAACGATAAATGTCAAACGGTTCACGACGGCGTGTAGAGCAACAGGTTGAGAAATAGTTGGCATGCTTACCAGTGAATGTGACCCGTCTGATATGGAATTATGCACAACGTTGCCCTGCATGATGGGGTGTGTTGACCACTTCCTGTTTCGATCCTACCATTGTCGAACCAACTAAACAGTGACGTGACGCGTTGCACCGAATACATTGGCATTGGAACGCACATGAAACATCCAGCGCCGTCGACCATGATGTCCTTGGTAGGGGACCGGCACACGGTAAAACTCGATTCACTAGAAAGTAGATCTGGGCTGAAGGAGCTTCGTTCGATACGGAAGAGAAGCTGAGATAAGTGTAACGAGGGCGCGAGAAAGAGAGAAGGGGGGGTGGTTGATGTGAGCAGAACAACGGGAATTGACACCACTGCTCAAGCTCTGACCAATTAGAACAAACAAGCTCACGCACTTGCTGCCATCGTTTCTGTCTTTAACCCGGAGAGTAGCCTCCCCCATGACACCCCCTCACGGGGTCCCAAAACATGGCCGATGGAAGCATTTTCTGTTTTCAGCCGCACTGAGACTGACGTCTTTTCGTTGATCAGCGCGGTCGATGCTAATGATAAACACACACACACACACAAAACGATCACGAGAACGATAGAGTTGGAAGGAAGGAGGATGACGGTGAACGCACTCCAAAACGAAATCGAGTACAAGGTAGCAGCCTTCGTAGACGTGTGCAGTGTTCTTCTGTTGCTACCGATTCTATTTTTGATCCGGAGAATAGGTTGGTCTCCCCCATGCCGCCCCCTCACGGGGTCCCAGTTTATGGCATCTAGAAGTGTTTTGTGCTTTCAACCGCATTGAGACTGACATATTTTCATTGGTCAGCCGGTTAGCGCGGTCGATGCTAATAATAACAACACATACAAATACGAAGCACGAGTGTGTAATGAATCGCAATACGTCCGGTTGCTGCAATAGGTTTGGTTGCTGCAAAAAAGCGTTCCTACGTGTGAGTTGTGCACGGCGTGCCCCTCGCGTCGCTTTGATATACCACAGGTGCCTTGCTGGTATGTGTCTGCCATCCTCTTGCCTCAAGCTTCGAACGGTCGAGACACACGAGTTAGGATCACCGCAAGGCTGGGGGAATATGTTCAAATAGATCAGTCCTCTACTGTCGTACGATCAACGCACCCTTCGAGTGCTGTAGGTTCTTTATCTCCTACATAGGCACAGTGGCATAAAAAGGGAAGACATATCTGATTGCACCACACCAGACAACCGCTAAATCCAAACATCCTGGCGAGACACAGGGTAAACGCAACTGCATGGAGTGTTTTTCTAACACACAGTTGTTTCAAGCTGGTAGCCAAAATTAGAGTTAGGGGGACGGGTGGAAATACTTTAGTATTAGTAAAGCGGTGGGCTCCATACCTGCAGTCTCATGGCCCTTCGGAGCACCTTGCCGGTTACTGGCTCAACGTCGACAAGGCTCTGATGGTGCGTATCGTCCGGTTCGATATAGTTCATCTGGCGCCAGATGCATGGGCGGACGACTTTGGACACATTGTTTTGAACCGCTGCGACGGGGCTATGCTATTAACAGATACTGAAAAGCTTGCGTAGGAAAGACAACGCCACTCTGTAGCCTTCTCTATTTGCGGTAAAATTCTACTATTATACTTATGGGATCAATTGAAAGCGTGTTGCTCGGTGTGGACGCTGAGTGCCAGCAACAATAACATTCACCTGTTCTGCTGCCTGTTGGTCCAGAACGTCGTTTGTAAGAAAGTGTGGATCGCTGACGAACGTGGCATAGCCTGTTAGTACCTGAAATAGAGGCAGACGCAGTATAGGTGGATCATACTGCGCTGAAACATCATGATCGCGGTGGCGAGCGGATGCTTTTGTCCGCGAACAGGATGTAGACTACGATTGCCATGGGCTCATTGTTGATTTCGATCAACTGGTACATTCGCACCTGAGTGCTGACCATGCCCATTGGTACTGAGTAGGGCATGCCATTGAAGTCTGTCAACTGGTCCTCCCCAACCCTCTCACGCGCATCCAGCCAGTCCTGTGGCGCACGGCAGGCAAATGTCGCGTACCAAAGAGCGGTGTCAGTTGATTTACCCTAACCATGTTTGTGGTTGTTGGTGTTGTCTTCATATTTATAAACTGGTCCGGCCTGTACTCAGTACCTTCAAAACATCCGTACTGGCCGAATCGGCGCGGACGCTCCCGTGGCAGTATCAAAAAGAGGTGCACCGGAATAGCCGAAGAGGGAACAAAAGTAAGAAGTAAGATCTCAAGAAATTCGGTAAAAAAACTGTATCTCGACGTCGGGCCCCAGGATGTCAGACGTCGCTGGCGATATGTCCGACAAAGATAGACAGTCCTTTCGCTCCGGCTCGACAGGGACCAAGCAACACAAAAACAAACAAGAATTTTCAAACATCAGTCATTTCGGGAGTCGTGCACCCGATAGTCTGGACCAGGCTCCCACAAACAATAGTCGGACCGTGAGTCTCAACGGCGCACTCTGCCGTTCGCAAAGCTCCCGGGAGGACATCGTGATGCGCCCACGCTGCTCCTGCGGCTGATCTGTTGCATTATCTCGCCATCTTCGTTGACCCAGCCGCCCAAACCTCGAAACTCGGCGGATTGGGCGTCCTCTGCCCCGCTATTTTGATTACCAACGGTTGCTGAGGTTGTTGTGGCTGCGGCGTTGATTCCTCCCTCTTCCACCTCTTCCCTGGTACCCGCATCAGTCTGAATATTCTTTCCCGACGTCAAGGCCCCAAACACTCAACTGTAGCATGTGTGTACGGGGCACACCTCCAAACAAACTTAACATACAGCTACGCTCACCTGTGTTTGCGCGATGTAGCGGTTGAGACGAATATCAGTTTCCAATGTGAAGTTGTCCTCCGCAAGGTAGCGTGTAGGGTACTGGAGGAACGCATCGGTACTGTCCCTTGCCATGTGAAACTGGAGGAGGTGTTCGCCTTGAAACACAACCTGCATCCGTTTCACGCGCACGGCCGACAATAGCTGATCAGCTTAGTCAAACTTATGCACCAAGCAATGTCCATCTAGACGTCTAGAGCAAGAAGTTAGAGAGCTCAACACAACGGGTACCTGCGCTACTGATTTTATGCCGAGAGCTCGCAATCCTGATCGAAACAGACATTCGTGAGTCGGTGAGTGTGTAGTTTCTTACCACTGTGTCGTTCCCGAGATAGTCGAGGCCTTCGTTCCGTAGTCTGTAAACTAGTTTATATTCGCCAAACCCTTCCCATTTTCGCGGTGCATCTTGAGTGCCATCTGTTCCATACACCTCCAGCGACGAGTCTGACCCAACGGCAGCGAGCAGTGATTCGTTTCCATAGTAGAGGTTTGTTCTCCCGATCCTCTGTGGGTCGTCGCTGCCCGTTTCAACCTATCGTGTGGGCAACACGCAGCATAATTGATGCTGTCCGTTGGTCCTAGAATGACCGTGTGAAACCTTTGACTTAGCGGTAATGCTCCTCCACCTTTCATCAACGGACCCGGTCGAGGTTGCCAGAACGAGCGGGAACTGGTGCAAATAAAACGGTTTGTAGGATATTGAAGGCCACTTTTGACCAAACATACGTTTCAACGACCTCTGTTTCGTCCATCAGGGAGCTCACCGTCGTGTCACAGCTATTCCACAGGCCTGCTTCGCCTTGCAGTACCCGTTTCTCGCAATCCTGGAATATTCCGTTGGTCGGACAGAAGCATTTTCAGGAGAGCAGCACAGGGGCAACAGATTCTTGTGGGGCACTTTGAGAGTAACAGGGGAGGGGGGAAGGTGCAGTGCATCTTCTGTCAATCATGGCATGAACGCGTATAATTGCTGGGTATGCTGAGCGTCAAATGGATTGTTCTCACCATAGTCTTTTGAAAAGTTTCGTTGTCCCAGTGTCCGCCAGGATACACAGCAAAGATCGGGTTGTCGATGCTGCCCAAATCGTGCGGCAAGGAGAGTTTGGCGCTATACCACAGGTGTCTACTCGAGCCTGTCTTGTTGACCTCGAGTACCGTGCCATACGTATCGTGCACCACCTGGACCGGCATCGTTGCAAGAGCGAGTCGCTGATCTCATTTCCCAATGTGTGTTCTGGGGTTTGCAGCAAGTTGAACGAACGAGAGCTCTCCATACGTGCGTCGTGCGGATCGCTTGGGTTCTCAATACAGATAGTTGATCGAGCACGTAACATTTTCATCCTGCAGTCGGCACTCCAAAAAAACAGGATTTTGATCTGGGCTTGGTGCAATGGCTTGGCTAAACGGGGTTTCTGGCCCCCTTTTCTTACCTAAACGCCAACGGAGAAACTCTTGCCTGCCCTTGGTACATAGCGGGATGAAACTGCCCGGATCGTTTAATAGTTCTGAATCGGTTCCTACGGAAACAAGCCAAATCTTCCATCCCGATGAATCGCAGCGCTTGGTGCAAGCGAAAAATAGCCATAGTCAGTTGTATCGACAATGAATTCACTACCCCATATCACCAAATAGGCACAAAAAGAGAGTATCCAGGCACCTCGAACCCAGTGCTGGTGCAGTCACCATCGAACAGAGGGTGGCAGTACATGTCCCATAGAACCACGCTTGGCACGGAACACTTGATGGTCAAGTTCCTCCCCGACAGCCTTTTATTCATGAGCTTGACGGTCAGGGAGTCCGTGTACCCTTCAAAGATTATGTCCCTGCTAAGCAGAAGGCGGAAACCGATTGCAACAAGACTTTGTTATTCAGCATACGTTATGAAGATGATTCTTGTGCAAGTGGCGACCCTCGAGACACACACGGTTACACTAGGACCTCATCATCTCGTCTCGGAAGCATCATGGCCAGGTCGCTGATTGGTGTGAGACTTCGTGCAACACTCACCTCGCACGCTGAGTAGTGAAATACCCCCCCTTTTTGTAGTCGCAATTTTCGGTATCATCACAGAGCAGGTGATCCTTTTTCAGAACCTATGGGGACACCACAGAAAGACCGAAGAACCCGTGTGGTTAACATTCCTGGAGATCGGGGAGCTCTGTTCAGCAACGTGGTGGTGATGCCGAGTCCTTACATGGAAAACATTCACCTACGGTAAAAAAGGACAACGGTCTGCACAGAAAATGTGAGCAGGTACTCGACTACTTGAGTTTTGCATATTCAAAATAAAAAGAGGCCGAATCATGTTTGGAGTCCTACCGGCGGTGGCATCCGCGTAGCGAGAACGTAAATTCCACCCTAGGTCTGGCACTTGCCTCTTCCAGCGCCAGGGTGTGCATGAATGCGGCCACTACGTTCCCCGGCTTCTTCGGGTAGGAATGCGCGTTGTCGTAGATACGCGTGGCGTCGCACTCTATCCCCGATACGGTGTCGCTGATGATAGTCTGAAAAAAGTTGCAGTTGGCCGGCCACTCCTCGCCATCGGCCACCTACTTCGGAAACGACATAGCAACAAGGGTAAGCCGTTGTCAATGTCATTCTACAAGTCATTCTACACGTGCATTGCAGCTCGGTAGACTTGGTTGTAGGTCATCGAGCGGGTCCCTTTCGAAATACGTATCAAAGCAAATAGAAGGAGTAAATATCTCACCTTAGCTAGACAGCGCTCGTAGAAGCCTTCGAGCACGTAGCACTGCTCTGGCGAGCTCATGAAGGACGTGTCGAGCCAGGATTGCAAGCCGGTAACTTCACTGCTGAGGGTCGTGCCCTCCCACGCAGCCGATGAAAAATCGCCGTAGGGGTTTTCTTGAATAAAGAGCACATCTCCTGGGTCGAAAGAACCCGAAGTACTAGATGGACCTTCCCACCTGGACGTCCCGACAAAAACGTGGGTTTAACTGCCCAGTCGACGATCAGTGAGGAGGATAAGTGGGAAAGGTCATGCCCGAAACAAGAAAGTAACGCTCTGTAATCCTGACGCTGCTCAAAGTCGTGGCCAGTCACTAGACACCGTCGTTTCCAGCCCACGATACCGTATCATACAGGCGTATTGTCGATGGCTCCAGGTACTGGCCTATCCTACATCGGGACACACCCATATCTACACTAGAGGACGGGCGGTCCGGTCCGATTTCTAGGACCCACTCGCCGTCGCTAAAAACGGTAGATCAATAAAAGAAGACGTGATTGGCTGTGTTGTTACGTGGTTGTGTCGTTCGTTGAATACGTGGAAGGCTACTGCAGGGTACCCTTGTGAAGACGGCAGGGATCACCAGTTGTCGGATTCGCCGTAGTACGTTGTGCTCTGCCGCACAATGAAGCGCCGAAACTCGTCGGCTTCGTCACTATCCTCTGCCAGCAAATCCAGCAGCGCCTTTCCATACTCAATTGTGACATTTCCCATGGTGGAGTAGCCTGCGAGAGCCACCTGGTACGAGGAATAATACGAGAGACGTTGGCAGTTGGCCACGAAGCCAACGATGAGACCGTGTCAGTACGAACTAAAAACGTAGGGGGATTCAACCTCGCTCATAGGCACTCGATGATCTCTTGCAAGCAGCTAGAGGTAAACGCATATTTGAAAACGTCGAATCAAGGAATATTGACGATGTAGTCTACAAGAGAACATCACACCAGCCTCCCGCCTACCTAGAAAATAATGTGGTATTAGGTGAAATCACCTGCGTCGATAGCTCAGGCCCCAAGTTGTGGCGACTCTCTTCCATAAACCTCCATATTCCATCGTGGGTGATGGTGCCCAATGTTTGCAGTCCTAAAAGGGCAAAAGAAACCGCCCCGGTGGCCCACTGTATGAGCACGCGAAAAGCAGAACGGGCTCTCTTGTCAGTTTAGAGGGTACGCTGAGTGTTCCTAACGCAGCGTGCTACTGTTATCGGCGATCCCGCTGCCGGTAAGTCGTCGCAATATCTTCGTGACAACGCAACCCTGTACACCATATTTGTCCTTGTCGCCCTGTTCCCTCCCCGAGCCCCAAAGTGCCACCAGGAGTTCACGACTATGAAGCAACCTGCAGCTAGTTACCTGAGTGTATCCAATGTCCTCTATGCTGTCTCCATCCAGCTCGTATCCCGTGAGTTCAAAGACGGAAGCGTTGATATGATTGACGATGACGTGATTCAGCCACGTGCTTTCCCCGACCCAAGATCCAAAAATGTTTGACGCGATCCCACAAACCTGAAGCGTCACAAATATTGTGGGCACAACGAGCCGTGTTAGATGAGAGTAAAAAATCGGGCTGCCGGTTGTGTGCGGCGTGCGAATTGTTGCACGCAATTCTCGTGGGCTCCGAAATACTCTCGGCTGCTGAAGGACATATGGGTCGGGTTATCAACTCTGCTGCTAGTTGGATTGAGGCAGAACACTCCTCATACTTCAGGCTTGTATACAGTACAACACCTATGCGCCACGGGTTCAAAACAAATGGACATATATTCCTGCTCCCCCTCTTTGAGGAAGAAACTTCCGCCCAAGAATGACGTCCTCCCTCGCACCTGTTCCCTATACTGCGCCCATTCCAGCGATCCCTCCGCGGCCCTCAACAATTGTGGCAAGGTTGCATTGGCAGCATCCAAATAACGGCTGCCTTCGTCGCATTCGATAGGTGTCGAGGGGTCAGCCGTGCAGTATGTGTACGCGCTGCCCCACAACGTTTGGCCGTCCACTGTGTAGTGACTAAGATCATTCCTTGAGTCTTGCTCAGCAGGATCGATCTGGTCAGCACAATCGATTTCGTAGCAATGTTGTGTGGGATGAAAATCCTTAAGATCAAAGAGAATGCGTGTTTGGTTCGATGCTTGTGCCAGAAAACAGTTTGCGTCGCTCAGGGGAGGACCCAGAAAATCTGGTGTTGGATTTATGTACCCCGATAGTTTGGAAGGGGCATATTCAAATCCGAACGTGACTGCCAAGGTTGATTCGTACACAACATGGTAGTTATTGCTTGGATTGAACCACGCACCATGAGCACGGCAGCGGCCGTGCTGATATTCCAGGCTGCTGCGTTGGTCCCGTTGGCGACTCTCCATGGACAAACACTGCCTACCGCATCACAGATGACATCGATCGTTCCACTTGAAGCGCCTCGCCATTCGTCGATCACGTACCCCTCCAGCTTATTTTCCTGGGAGCAACGGGGAATGAATACAAAAATAAGTAGAACAACTTTTGTCGCCGGTGTAGGCACATATGGTTGAGCGTGTAGCTCACGGCTTCTAAGTCAACCCGCTGCAGCGAATCTTGCAGGACAAATACGCATGAACACGTCAAGGCTTGGATGAGCTGCGCAACAAGGCTCGGTGTCCCATCACAAACGGCCGAAAGCTTCCACAGAACCAGTTTCCATTCGGAACAGTCAATGCACCGCGAAAATGGTTTCGCAGTAGTTTCGCAGTAGAGAGCGTATACCTCGGTGAACCAAACGCCGAAAAGCCATTGCAGGATACCAGAAACTTTCGCCTGGCATTCTTGCAAGGAAGGCGCGGAGCCCCCGTTCGTTGCCTCCCAGGTGCACACCTGTCATTGAAGTAGGGTTGGCATTTGAGCAGACGATCACATAGTGTTCAGACACAAAGCCGATTTGTAATATGGCAGGGTATTGGAACTAATTCAGCCTGGCACATGTGTTACCATCCGTACCGTTGCCACGAGGTCGTCGAAGGCACTCTCTCCGGTGAGATCGACCTCGCTTGGATGCGGTAAGGAAGGCGCGGAGAGGTAGCCTTCGTAGCGACCCGCCGCTATCCACTTGAGCATCCCTCCCGAAGAGTCAAAGATGGACCCATCTGTCTGCGATCGGAGTCCTAACAGGTGCTCCGCCTGCAAATTCGGGGTCAGGGTACCCAACGTGTTAGAACGAATACTGGTCATCCAGCACCGAAATCACGGGGGCCCCTTATAACGAGATAGCTCAGCTTCCTGTTGTCATGGATGGGCCTAGATACAATTCACACACGTTCTGTACCTCTGCCTCGCTAAATGAGCCATCAACACCGAGAGAGGTGGCTGCGCTCTGAATGAACGAAAGTAGACCCCAGGGACAGCTATTCGAATATCCGCTTGGTTGGAAGCCCTGGCAGTCGACCGACGTATCGTCGTAGCTGCTTCTCAGCGTGGACACAGCCGTGGCGGTGCCGTCGGTCGCCGACACTGATGAAAAAATGGAGCGCAGCACGCTGTCTGCTGTTAAGAAGGCCTTTCGGAAGCTGTAGACGTCGTTGAGGACCGTTGGTAGAATGTACGCTTTCGTAGCTCGCACGAACCCTTCGGTCATGCCTTCCTGATGCGACAACACGATGTGCACCGATGTTGTTGACATGATTTGTGGAAAGGGAACTTTTGCCATGCTGCTATCCAACACCATGCACAGGAGAAGAGTGATCCGTGCATTGTGACATTGTCCGAGACGAGTGGGGCAACCACCCCGCTCTTTGTCACGAATAGAATGTGACCCCTTGTGTTTAATTGGATATCCCGTGTGTGGCATACGTAGAGAGGCTAGTGTGTCAGTATTCGCTGCGCCAACAGACTCATTTGATTTCTCCGTTCACGACATGCAACTCAATCACCACATTCCTCATTTAGTGCGTTGCCGAAAGAAAGCATGCTGTCCACTCTACCCACCTTGATATCCGCGAAAACCTCTTGCGACAGGGTGGATATGATGCCGCTGGGTTCATATTGTTGCATCAGCTTGAGGAATGGAGGGTTCACCACGGTCACCTACGTCGTCAAGGTTGAAAAGGCAACCAAAACATCAACGACGTTGTTCGCAGAAACGTGACGGCATACATCGGTTGTGTGCAATCCTAATCCTGTGCTGGCCACCACCACAGTAAATTCCTCACCTGTTGCGTGTCATCCACACAGTCGCATGAAGTTGTATTACAGTCCACGATTCCTTGCCGTAACCTCGCGTTTCCCATGCGAAAAAACATGTCGGTGCAATCTCTAGGGTCCTCTACCTGCGTGTGTCCCATAGTTACAAGAGGTGATGTACAATGGTTGCTGCAGACCGAATGGAGGAATTATATTGATTGGTGTATTCCATGCAAGCCACGAACATAAATCTGCTACCTGTGCAAACCGATGAGCATACGAACATGATAATACGGGGCCCAGTATCTGCATCGAGACTAACTTCCTGTCTACTCGAGTAACCGTTGTTTGGATCGACGTTTGCTCTCACCGGATCATACACCGTCCAGGAGCGGTAGGTGACCGTGTCGCTAAAGTCGGAGGAAAACCGGGCGTCGTACTTGGTCGTTCGCTTAATGTAACCCAATGGGCCCGTTTCCGCAAGTTTTGGCTAGACAGACGGAGTGCAAACAGCAGTTTGACACAATGTGTGGCGAAGACGACATGTTACCCGACAGTCTAGGCAATCACAAGAGCAGGGGAAGCAAAAATCGTACCTTTAAAACGTCACAACTTGCCCTGTCACAAATGATGGCGAGCAGAGGGAGAAGTACCGTGTTTTTATCCCCTCTGTGTGAATCCATGCCACCTCACGGCCGACACAGCCTGTACCCTCTCACTGTCACTGTACGTAGTAGCTCAACTGAAATACTGACCTTGAAACCTTGATCGAGGATTTCCGAAGGGTTGGTGATGTGCCACATGTAGATATTGTGTAGTGAATACGCACCGGTGAGTTCTTCCTAGGATAACCGTGGGTGAGTTTAACGAGCAGGAGGAGGGGGTCACGAGACTGTTATGAATTCGGTGTTATTTAGGTCTATTGAAACACCCGATGCTCATTCGCGCGTATTTGCTCGAGACTCGATGCTTTCATCAACAGTACAGGCCTGTCTGTGCAATACCTCATGGTTTTAGTAGCAGAAATATCAAAGAGTTGTACTACCTCGATGCATCTGGGTGCTTTCACTACTGCTCGAACATAGAAGTGACGTTGAGGTCAAGGCTACACTTGATACCAGCTGCATATCGTCCTCACCGCTTTCTCGCCAACACATGTACATCCAAACCAAAAGGTCACACATAGACATCTCGATTCGCACTCGAAACAATTTTTCAGTTTCCGAGCAAATACCATCGATACTACAACATCGCATTTCGTGTGTAAAGTTTAACGTATCCCAGACATCGTACCTCGTCCGAAAACAATCCGAGCAGCCACTTGTTGTAGGTGGATCCTGAAGCGGCCTGGTCGTTACCGTCGATGATAGCCTCGAACAAAGTCTTGCTGTTGAGCGCCAACGGGTAACAAAGCTGTGACCATAACACGCACATTACGAAGAAGAGCACACAAGCCGTCTGCCAAACGGCGAGGAAAGAGCACAAGTTAGTTTTTCTCTGAGGGGGCGTGAGTTCGGTAAACTTGTCATGCACTCCCAGCAACAGCAGCGTAGGGTGTAGTCTAGGCTGTTTTTCGCCGGTAAACTGCGCGCAAGACCCAAAGGCCCAATGTTCGATTTCTGCACGTATTGGGTATTTCTATGCTGCGGGCATGATTTAGTGCATTCAAAAGGTGAGCATTCGTGGGTGTAGATCGGTTTCATACACCGGATATATATGCGCAGAAGATTACGAAGTTGTTCGCGGAACGTAAATGTTCTCGGAACTTACCTGACAGAACATCTTTCCCAGCTGGATCCATTTTCCGTAAGCATAGTGCTGCTGCCATTTTTTTTTCATGCCAGCGGGGGCACGATCCTCATTTCCAGTTGCCTTACTAGTCGGGCCAACTTTGAGACCGACGGTCTGAAGGCCGGTGCTGAATACGCTTGAAGCTCGCGAAACCTGTAAGCACCAACGCGCGCGCAATACATATAGAAAAATCACTGCTGCCCTGTCGGTAGACTAATAATCTAGACTGCAAAAAAACAGACATGGCTGGCTGAAGTCGTTCTACCCTTGGCGCGGGCTTACTTACATGTTTCGCACGTTAACTTGCGCTGCCTAATTGTTTGCGTCCGGTTGACTTCAAACGTTGAAACAGTTAAACGGCAAAACGGTTCTGAATCTACAGTGTACAGAAGTCTACATACGCATATCTATGGTGCATGTACACGTATACAAAAGCAGCAGCAGTACACAGCCCGTCTACATGTATGTTAGGCTACACTCGCCACCCTGCGGTCCCACCAGCGCAGAGTACATACCCACGGTCCACTATATTGATCTAAGGCACCTCCCACCTGTGAGTCCACAAGGCTCTCTGCACGCGAAGAGAGGCTGGAGTCTGAAGGGTCCCGGTCCTGCAAGTGCGCGCTCGTCCGAGATCCATCGGATACACTGCCTCCGTCTGTTGTCGACTTTGCCCGCAAGCTCGCCATCATCGACGCCGTACCGCGACTGCCTGCAGGGTAGCTTGTATCCATCTTTTTGGCCTTGCTCCATGCAGATTGAACCAGGACACCGTCTCAGATTGATTATGAATCCTTGCCTGGGGGCACGAGAGCACAAGAGCTTCGTGGGTGACCCGATTTGGTGACCAAAGACCCGAGCGGGGGACCGCGTGGTGGGAAAAGTCGTTTCATGCAGGCTAGACTGTGGATGTTGCCTACGCTTTTCTGGGGAAACCTTTGGTGATCTTCTGCGGGGCCTCTGATGACTTGAGCCACGAGTAGCCACACCTGCATACCTGTTGCTCTCTTCTGCCAGACTGACAGAGTGCTGTGCTCGGGCCCATGTGTGTCGTGCACATGAGATGGAGCTACTACGCCTGGTGATCGCCAACGTTCTAGGCAATGTGGTGACTACACTCTTCCTCGGCGTCCTGGTCCTCAACTACATCCTCTGGGCGGAATATGTCGTCACGTACGTGGTTGAAGCTTTTTTGGACCTCCCCGCAAGCAGACATGTTGGCGCGTCCGGGGCTATGTCGATGTATTACGAATAGATGACAGACACCCACAAAGAAATATATGCCTTGTCATATCACGGTGCTCGCGGATATGTGACTGTGTGTACTGTGTTCGTTCCGTTTGAATCATAGGCATTCTCCCGCTGACTACATCACACCATTCGATGGAGGCTCGGATGCAGCGAGCGTTTGATGTATCATGCGAACGCGTACAGCGTTCATCGCAATATATCTGCTTCGGTGAAACCAGGTTGCCCACAGGGTATCAACGGCTGATCGGGGATTGCCCATAGATTCACACTTCTCTCTCGAGTGTTTTGCTCCATCACTACTCCCGTTTTTCCATACAACACTGCTGTCGTGGAACCAGGTTGCTATGGGCGTTCATTTTGGCCCAGGCGCTACACTCGCCCAAGGCGAAGCTGATCCGAGCCATCAAGGTGTTAAGGTACGCAGCAAATATGCATCTTGATATGTCGTTGTTGTTGTTGTTGTTGTTGTTGTTGTCTTCACAACTTTTTGAACGCTCCGGCCTCCGTCCTCCTTGCGTACACACCAACCAGTAGGTGAAGGGACGATGTCTCGTCTTTGGGTGTGAAGTCCATACCCCAGACCCGTGGTGGGATGAGCAAGTTTCGCGTGTCGCCACCGAGTTTGTTTTATATCCCGTTTCAGGAAAATGCTCAGGACGGCCATTGCTGGGAGAACCTCTACGTGTTTGGCCTGTTTCCAAGGGTTGTTCTCTGACCCTTTTATGTTTGTCCCCCCAACCGACCCACAGCCAAGAAGATGCCCGACCGATGGTATTTGTCCTGTGGGATATGATGGCCGGGCCGTTCCGGCGGATGCACGCCGACGGGAGGCCGGTCTACGAGATGGTGTTTGTTTGGGCACTCGATTGGTGCATCGAATCGTTCGCGCTTGTGGGCTTGATATCTTGCACATCTCGCGTGTCAGTGGGGCTGCTGGTGGCGACGTCGCTCGTGGCACTTCTGTGCTATGGATTATTGTGAGTGACGGGATTGTATTGAGAAAGTGGCTTTGTTGCTGCCGGACTCGAGCTGCGGTTTACCCAAGCAAGAATCCCCGCCTGCACGTGATACGTTGTTCGCCTTGTATGGGTGGCAGAAAAAAAAAAAAATCCCTCACCCCCACAACGTGCTGTGGAATTTCACCCGGCGTGACGGAGGATGCACAACACGATCAATTCAATTTCCGTTCCTTCGCAACATATTATCACACACCTCACACGCAACCGACTCCTCGCCTTACTGCACTCTCATAGGTATGTCCTTGATCGGCGAGTGTTTGCATATCGCCGGGTGGTCTCCGACAACACGGTTGCCTGTACGCTGCTGATCACGACATTCTTCGCTAGCGTTTCCTTCATCGTCCTCTTCCTTGGCCTCGAATCGGTTCTTGAAGGGCTGAGTGCCGGAAAAGACGTGTCTACGTGGGTGAGCCAGGGCGCGAACAACAAGAGCGCATGGAACGTATCTCTGGCCGTACCGTACATGCGAGAAACGGCAGTCTGAGGTGTTTGCTCGGTATGCTGCGTTGGGTGATGGAAATAGGTCAGCCTGGTGCTATGAATAGCGATTCGCAGGTGTTGCCTGATGATGCAACATAAGAGGCTATTCGCACACAGAGATCGCTCCAGTCCCCGCGTTTGCCCTTGCCCCTACGTCCTGACTTTGTGATACCACCAGATCCAAACGATGTTGGACATCGAAAGCAATAGTGAGAGTGAGTGGGGCAAAAACTTCGTTCGCGTGACAGAGTTCGCACAGGAGACGGCAAGCGGGCTTGCTTCAAAATACAATGAAACCGCCTGGTATCCTGTGGCACAGAATGCCATCTCCAACTACTTTGAGGTGAGCTTTCGTCAATTTCCAGGTCTACGTTATGGTATTGCTCGAAGCAGATGGTAGATGTTCCCTTCCCAGCAGCTTCAGGCTCAAAGCCATTGCTCGATTGTCGTGTTATGCTGTGCCTGTATCACAACCAGCCTGTACCTCCGGATATTGACCCTTTTGTTTTTTCCAATGCGTGCCTTGCCATTTACATCGCAACCACAGCACGGTGCTCTCACAGCACCAACCGAAACATGCACGGACGAACCCACTGGAGGTGCTGTGAGCGGGCTATTGGGCGCTGTAGGTGGCGTTTCAGGCGTGATCGAACATGTATCCAGCCTCAACATATCCATGGAGCACGTTGTCAACTACGGTGAACCGGGCGGGAAGGTGCAGTGCGCTTGCCGTTTTGTTTCGAATCGTCTTTCCAGCCCTCGACTTGCAATGTTGCTGTGCGGCCAGCTGTCGTGGCATCCTTACTGCCTGTCCCCCACGCCTCGCGCAATCGCTTTCATGTCCTGCTGCTGCCCTCTCCAGATATTCGCCAGTGGAGCGACCTTGCTGGCATCGTTCGGCAGTTTTCTGATCATGGTCGGCTTTAAGGTGGGACACACTTTGTTGTAATAGAAGCATACTCTAATGTCCGCAACCAATTAAAACCTCCGACATATGTTGTAGCTTTTTTGAGGTTTGTTGCGAGGTTTGTTGGAAAAGTAGAAAACTTGAGCGGGTTGGTTATGATACGAGGTTCAAAGTTCAAGCCTTTTCCCACAGACTCGCTATGAGAGCAAGGGAGCTCATAGTAGATACCTCGCGCAAGGTCGTACTTCATCTTCACACGAGTTTGCCCTGTGTCCAATGGGATTGGCTACAGCACCTCTGTGTTGGACGTTCGAAGTACGTTCTGCTGCTGCCCTTTTCGGGGCTCATCGGCAACAGTATTTGAATCTGTTCACCTGCGTGCTCTACGGTTTGTTGTTGAACGACCTACCGCAGGTGGTCCTTCTGTTCACTTGCGTGTTCTACATGACCAGCCACGACGATTTTCTGGAACGGAATATCGGAGACTTCCTACCTGTATCTCAGGCAGACCAAAAGGTACATGCAGCCCCTGTAGGTAACCGTGCGTACCATGCGTTATTTTTTTGCCCTTGACATCCGTTGAAAGCTTTCGTTACCGAACAGCAGCGACCGATGGTATGCCTGTCGGTGCTGGTACAACAACTGAGTTCGAAGTTCACGTGTCTGCTCTACTTTTTTGCTGTAGCAAGACGCCTGCTGACACTCCTCGAACCACAAGCACGGCACGAGGCTCGTATCAATACGGTTGCAGCTCGATGATTCGAGAGTCCTCACCAAGCGCATGGTATGCAGCCACCATGCCCACAGGTGCCCCTTGATGCTCTTCTCTTTTGCGCCGACGTTTGCGGCAGAGGGCCATGAAGAAGCTGCGAGGCGCAATCCACGGGGTGTTCTTCATGCCGTGTAAAGTGGCTTGTCTACGCGGGGTGGTAACACTGTTCTCTTTCAAGGTCCTGCAGATAGAGTTCCCCTTCTTCGCCGCCTTCGTGGTGAGTCACTTTGCACTTTGACACGGACGGGTGTAGTGAGCTTGAAGACACATATGCTGCGCGCGAGCATGTGTTGTCTGCGGCGCCGCCACTCGTGTTGACTCGAATAGACGGCTTTGGCGAACATGTTCACACGCACCACCTCTAACCCAATGTCACTGTTGTACATGCGGATCGACAGGCAGTCTTGGTCTCCATTTTGCCCATCGTCCCGGCGTACATCGTGTGCTGGCCGTGGGCTTTGATGCTGGTGCTGCATGGACGATGGGTAGGAATTACTCTCGCGATCAGCCAGCACCTCATCCTCTCCGTGATTGATACCGAGCTCTACACGCAGGTATGTCGAATCAATCACTGAGCTGTTGCCTGTGGACCAGACGCGTGGTGTTGTTGCTGTGACATTGAGCACCGCCTATGTAGAGTAGGAGGCAGCCTGCGATATGACCGGAACTTATCTCGGTTCCCCATCGTGCATGGCACCAAAAGCCCATTGCACCTGTCTCTGTTGTGGTTGTTTTCCGCTGACGTCTCCCGATGCTACTCGCTCTTGACTGTGTTCTCTCGCCCACAACGTCGACCAGGGTGTTCGCGAAGCCAACCCGTATTTGACTTCCCTCAGCTGCTTCCTAGGCTACTCCGTGTTCGGTGCTCATGGAGTGCTCATGGGACCACTTGTTCTTTGCTTGGGTACACTCATCTACGGCGGGCTCGGATTCGTACAAACTTCGATGGCGCAGGTACACGCTGGAACGGGCGTGAAACGAAGAAGCAAATAGCCCGCCGTACCTTGATGGTGCATTGCTGCCCCGTCGTAGCTGATTTCGTGCGTCCAGTTGTTGAGCCAACGAAACTTGGTTCGTTAGCAGTGGCAACTGTTAGGGGAGCCGTTTGTCTTTTGTCCATCAACTTGCGCGTGGAACTCATTATGGACGTCTTAACTATGGGCCAACGCGTGTCCAGGGCACCACGTACGATCAGTCCACGCCTGCACGCAAGGGGGCTCGTTTGGACGCCCCACGAACACCACGGTCGAACGGATCCGAGCCTCGTCCTCGCGGAACGGTCTCGAGCTTGTTGGAAGAGGAGGGTTCGGCGGGATCCACCAATGTCTCCCGAGACACACGCGTTGCCAACCATCACCATCATGAAGGACTTGGGGAAAAGGAAACGTCAGGTAGTACATACAGGATGCCAACGGCCGTGCAAGAACTATCGTTTTGCTGTGCCCGATGAGGAAGTAGACCCGTTGATGCTCATGCTCTTCCCATGACGTCCAGACCTACAACTGTTTGCCAGTGTCGCCCAATCGGCCGAGTGAAAGCCCTCTCTTTGGCCGTCTCTTCTGCCGTACTTCTACGCCGTTGCCGCTGTTTTGCTGACCAGACATCCATGAGGTGATCTCCTCGCTACAGCTAGCCGAGCTTTGGTCTAGCTTCACCAGGAATCTGCACGACAGCGCGCGCGTACCCTCACCAAGCTGTAGCCGGAGGGTCACGTTACAACTGGTGAGAGGTGGCGAAGCGGTTTGCAACGATGGAGCGTTGGCTGCTCTGCTCCCTTTGAGTTTCCAGCGCATTGCTTGAAGTACGTGTTTAGTGTATACCTTCCACATTGCTGAAAATTATCATCGCAATTTTACTTGACACACCAAGCACGCGGTTCCACGCACGCCAACCGTAGGCACGGCGTCCGGCCAGTATCGAAGGGGAACTGCAGGAGCACAAGGCCGACCATGAGGAATCGGCGCAGCAAACGTGGCGCTTCCGCTTCTCGCCCTCTTTGACCTGGGAAGCATTTTTGCTCGAGGTGCAAGGGGTGATGGGTGTGCCGGAAATATCCGGTGAGTTGGTCATCGGACACACCTTTTCGAACTTTGCCACGCCAGGTGTGGGTTGATTGTCGATAGAAGCTTCAACTGAACTCAGGGTTTGGTCAATCGATAGACTTCCCGCGTGCCAACTACCGACCGCAGCACCTCGTTACAAACACGTGTTGCGTTGGAACCTAACATCCGCAAACCTTGGCAGATTGTGCATGTCCTACTGTAGTCTGTCTCACGGGGAGCATTGCACTTGTTTGTGTGCATGTTCGCTTGCTTTTTTTGTCAGGTGTTTACGGGAGCGATGGCGCAAGGATAAAGCGTGTAGACTTCATCGAACACGGGGAGATTTTGGATGTTGTTGCCAACAATCCGACGGGGTCCGGATGATGGTATCTGATCTACAGTATCTACATTCGATAGCGGGTGGTAATTTTGGAGGAGACCAACAATGCTCTTGAGTTTGTAAGTAGTGTATGTCGTATGCTTCTGGTTGTTCCATGCGGCCTGCACATTGTTTATAGTTCTATGAAGTTCGTCTACACCCTTGTTATCTTGGCATATCTATACCAGCAGGCAGGCTATGGAGATGTCAGTTGGCACGCACGCCCACACACACCCCCAACAATGGATTCAACGTGCGTACAGCTGAAAAAAGCAAAGCATCACCCTGAGTGCATAACCCCCTCCATCTCTAAGCACTTCATTCAAGAATAGTCTTTCGGAGCGCCAGCTGCACATGATACCCGTCAGGGTCCGTGAAGCGACGCATTTTCCCCTCGAAAATTGCAGGCTCTCCAATCTCCTGAGCCCCTGTCTGTTTGAGGCACTCCGACGCTCCATCAAGATCATCAACAATGAAACCAAGAAAACCAAAGCCCTGGAAAGCGGGGAGGGAAAGACACCAGAAATTTACAAACGGGGGAAGGGCCAATTGCGAACGAGCTGAGAATGTGCGCGCGGGTTGAATCACCTTCTTCGACAGCACTGCTGCTGTTTTCCCGCTTCCATCAGAAGCCGAAAACGTTTATATTCAACCTACCATCATTCAACCGAACAACAACTTGACGAGGCCCCAAAGCAGAAGGTCCGATACGAGAAAATCCTATCGACGCCGGTGGAGAGCAACGGGTAGGCGTACCTTCGGGTTGGTGTTTCCGTTGTGGTAGGAAAACGTCGGATCTCCCTCGGTACCGTGATTGTGGGTAAGCTCGAGCACAGGTTTCCACGATCGACCCATACGGCAGTAAGCGTCCGGCGAGTCGGGTGCGGGTAACGAGGAAATCTCCTCAGAGGATAACGATTGGAGGAAGTACAAGCTGAAGCTGTCGAAGTGAAGCTCACAGACCTACGCAGGAGAGGCCGCACCGTGCCAAATGAGTCAGACAAATCGAACAGTTGTGCCATGTTGACGTCGCGGACCTCGGAAGATTAAATCTGTTATGAAGCCCCCTTTCAAGGGGGTCCCCTCTTTCACCAGACCACTGTTCAGGTTTGAAGCAACTTTCAGTACAATATACGACGGAATCTACGAAGCAGCACCGAAGCAACTCTAAGCTCAAAACAGTGGGACTTCGTTTCTCTACATCTACCACGAAGCGCTACCCACGTCAAGATAAAAGAACGAACGCGCTTCACATGAACTTGGCACCATTTTGGCCGAATGGGAGCTCTGGACACGGGCAACATGATTGCTTAGAGTTTGGATACGGCCTACCTTGGTCATTCCCATTCCGCCTTTTCCAGTGTAGAACTCCAACGATTTCTCGGCATCCTTCACACGGAGCATTGTCTGCCCCAGGTTGAATTTTTCCTGGTGCCCACCTTCCGCGTTCCTCTTCACTAGCTCTACCCAGTAGCCTGATGGGTCATACGCAAAAGCTAGCCCCTTCATTCGACCTTCATCTGCAAAGGGGCAACGGCATCACATCAGGAGGATAGGATACCAACACACCAGCGAGCTTTGGGGAAAAAACAAAACGACCAACAAAGGCGTGGTTGTTACACGAGAGAGTTGAGGGACACAAAAGCTGAGAATCGAGCAGAATGTCATCCTGCACGGTTCGTTTCAATTCAATTTCGAATGAACCGTCAAGACGAATGTGTGATTTTGGGAGATGCTAAAAAAACTAGACTTGCAGAGAGATGCACTGAATGCACCTGACGCGGTGTGCGGCTGCCACGCGGAATGTCCTGCGTAGAAGTACCGTGCAGCACCCGGACTTTGTCGACAAACCGCGCAGTACCTGGCTTTTTCTTGAAGGAAACCCCGGCCATCTCAAGCTCTTCGCTCGCCTTGTAGACGTCGGCGGTGAGGAAAGCCAAATGCCCAAAGCCTCGATGTGGCTCGTCGTTGCCGCTAGAGTACACGAGATCGGGATCGCTCTCCGCGCCATGCTCGTGCTCGAGCTCAACACAAGAGTGTTGCATATCGAACAACCGCTCATGGGCCTACGTGGAGAGTTGACGGGGGCAATGGCTGTGATTGAGTCCTCGGTGAATCCAGTTGTTGGGTTGCTTCGGCATGAAGCACGAGCGACAAAGGCGCGAACCAAGCAATGGTGGACTCCGTGGGTCAGAGGGGGAGATTGAGCCAAATAGCTCCAACGGAGATTCTCGTGCAACAAGTGTTTACAGGTTGACGGATGCTGGACTCGTGTGTCAGACTTCCTGGTTGAATTCAAAGCAGACCGACCATATATCGACGTGGAGTCGGAAAAGGCGAACAGCAGGTGATACATAACGACAGCTCTGCCTGTTTACTTAACACCAACGTGCCGCCATATGCGAACTCGAATTTTTCCAGGTAATATTGACATTTGTCTCGACGCATCTACCTCTGCCGAGCCCGCCTCGGGCCACGCCTCCCCATCTCGGAGGGAGGCCAGATAGTAGTTGCTTTTTCCGAGCGAGGGTGTGTGGTAGACGTCCACCAGTTTCATTCCGTAGCGCTCCTCATAGTACTTGACGCTTGCGATTGGGTCCTAAAGGTCGGTGGGGGTGTGGCAGAGAACAGAGGGGGGACACACACTGAGATAGAATATGGTTCGAGAGCTCACGTAACAAACGAATGCAAACGAACGAAAAAAAAAACTAGACTAGAGGTCGATCCATCTGTACTGGAGGGTCATTACACAAAACCTTTTCTCTAGTTACAGAAGCTGGAAGTTGACCAACATCATCGTGTGTAAACTCATTGTACACTATGCCTGTTCCATCAGGCGTCTCCGAAACACTGCTGTGCCCTATGCGTACAATCATGCGTACACAAAACACAAACCTTGCAACGGAGCATGGACCGATGCCATTTCATGCCATACGGATTAGAATCGCTGGCGCTCATCGTTGCTGTTTCTCTTAGTGTTGCGGCCCGGAGCGAAGCAAGATTTCCCGCCAGGACAGAGGTAGCAGGGAGTCTGCTGAAGAGCATCGCCTCAAGGTGGACGCAGCTGTACGCGCTGACCTCTCTCCTCTCTCCTCCGCGGCGGCACTGGGCATGCTGCGCATCCCCGTCCAACGCATGCGTGAATACTCGTATGTAACTCCCTTTTTTTTTTTTTCGTGAGACGTTGCCTCTATTTTGGTTCCGACCACAAAAAAAGCCGAGACACTCAACTGCTGTACACACCGCACATACCAACGATGGTGGGTGTCGAAGAACTGGCGAGGAAGAAAAGAGGGACAAGGTCACTACCAAAATCCTCCGAGAACCACGTCATGGCTGCCGAGCTCGAGGAAACGACCATGACAGCGAAAGGTGCGCGCTGGCTCGTTTGTTTGCACTTATTTTTGAAATTTGACTTCAGGATCAAAGGGAGTCGCGCTTTCTCACTGCTGTACGCTGCGGTAGACTGCAACAATCTTTGTCGGCAACGACATGCTGAAAGCACTCTGCCCTGTAGGGCCTGCACAACAAATATAACTTTAACATGTGATCGGTGGTGGTGCGACTGTGCGAATTTGTGAGGCGAATCCGTCTGCGAAGATTGTTACTGCTGTACGGCGGTAGTACGACTGACATCTACTTGTACATATCCTACAAACAGCATAGACTAGACTACAGCGTTCCTGCTGTAGTCTACACATTCCACATACAAATTCACTTGCCGAGAACATTCACGCAGGGTATGGAGGCACTCCCGTCCCGAGGGTTCGAAGCTCCTCGGCAAAGCGTCTGATTTTTTTTCTTAATTTTTTCCAGCACTAAAACTTCAGCACGATATACAATATTACGTGGTGAATCCATAGTATCTTCAGAGGGTGGGTCGCTTCATGTGAGACACTTTGGTTTAGCGTAGCTGTTGAAACGACGCTAGGTTCGACGAGTACGACTCACTGCAAGCTTGGAAACTTATCCTGCTCCCAATCATGCCTCCTTCTATGTTGCTCGTTGACTTACAGAGGTACTTCGTATTATCTGTAGCCGTTGTGCAGGCGAGAGCTACGCTCAAGTCGGTGGTCATCGGTAGGCACAAAGTACCCTTTCGCGAGTGCTGTGTATGTAAAGTTGTCCGAATCTGGCCTATAACTTTCGCTTGCTCAGCTGCGCAGGATCCTCTTTCTTTTGAAACCACACTCACTTGTCGGACGAAGCCTTGCGTTCAACAGCTAGCTGCGCAAAGCCCGAGTGACTCAAATCAGCGAGTACTCGAACATAGTCAAAGCTGTAAAACCATCGACGATGCGGCTGCGGCAATGAGGCGAAGCTGATTTTTTCGTGCTTAAATTTAGTGTGGTGGGCACTCCAAAGCAATCAGGTGTTTCCTGAAAAACACAGTGGAGCCCCGAACTATTTGGACTGCCTCCTTGCCGGTCACTGAGCGCCGTTCGTCGTGTGTTCTGTATTTGCAAATATCCGATGCAATTCAGATGCAACCAGGGCGATCTCGGCAAGGGATGCCCCTTCGCTGGCTGTCTTCTTCCGGAACCTCTTCGACCCAGCGGCCTCGCGCGCAGGTCCCCAACACGTTTGTCTCAAGCGGGCTTTCGCTCTCCTCGAGAGCCGTTGGAGTCTGGATGCCGAGGAGGGAACCTACCAGTTGCCCACGACCGGTCACCACGAACCTGCCGTCCCGTTTGGCGAGTCCTTCCTCTCGCCCGAGGTGTTCGTGAGCGTTGTGGCGTTCTTGGACGTGCCCCAGACGATGCAGAGCGCGCGAACGTCAAAGGCCTGGTGGCGCAATGGTGGGGAGCTTGAGCGGTTTCAACCGTTTGTTTTGGAGTATGCGTTTCTGACCGTGCAATGTCGGCGGTGCTCATGCCCGACTGAAGAGTTGTGTGCATGCTGTGCTGCGGCGAGGACTTGTTTGTGACTCACTGCCCAGTAAATACATTGATAAGTAGGTACACCAGGAAGGAGGTCGCTTCTGTATGGTATCGGGTACTCGACTGCAGCACCCACTGCCTGCGTGTTTCATCCGAATAAACTGACGATGATTCATGCCAAGACGCGCAATCTTAGGGGAAGCCTTGACGATGTTTTTGCCTGAAGATCGCGCGTCTGACCCTCCTCCTCCTCCTCCTCTTCCGAATTTCGCGATCGCAAAGTTTCTGCCCTACCAGCTGCGGCCCACGTCGACTTGACCAACCTCCGCCCCCGGTCGCCAATCTACGGCACATCGCTTTGGGGTGGGCCGTCCGTTGCACGCCCGAGGGGTCTCAAGTGGAATGACATTCTCATCCATCTGAGGCACATCAAGAACACGAATCCTCGCAGAGCGGTTCGACGCCTGACGTTCAACAGTTCCACGAAGCTCGGCAGCCTTTCCAACCTTTCCTCCGCCACGACAGGGCTGCTCACCCACATCGACTTTTCGCGCTCGCGTCGCGACGTCGACTTTGATCAGCTGGGGGTGCAACTGCCAGGGCTCCGAGGCCTGGCGGTGAGTGAGGACGTTTTGATACGTCTCATTGGCGCATGCGTTGAGACCGAGAGTAGTTCATGCTTACCACACCACAAGACAGCAAAAGAAATATGGCTCGTTATTGTGTTGAATAGAAGTTGTACCTTTCTTTGTTGCTGTCGGGTGGACAGGATGACACTTTTGTGAGCCCGAAAACCGAATCCTGGCGATCTCGGGACGTGCCTGAATTTGCGGTCCTTCCCACGATTCGGTGCTTTTTCCTCTTTCCCTTGTTTGTTTTTAGGTCCAGTCCCTATCTTACTACACAGCTGCTAGAGACCAGGCGTGGACCAAGAGCTTAGCAAAGCTCATTTCTACCGTTTCGTTGGAGAGCCTGCGGCTGCGCCACACAGGTTTGGATGACTCCTCTCTCGCTGTGCTTGCCGGAGCGGGAGACTCTCTGTTGAGATGCACGTTCAGCGGGGGCTCCGCGATCATCGAAGAAGGAATGGCGGTCCTAGGCGCCGCGGCTCCCCGGCTTGAAACACTCGCGGTCCACCACGTCCGCGTGACCAACAGCGGCTGGGAGAAGTTCGGCAAGGCGCGACTGGCGTCCAAACGGCACCTCATCTCCGTCCACATTACACCCGCGAGTGCCGCGCATGTCCCGTCGAAGGCGACGCGGGCGGTGTTGCTACGGGCTGTGACGAAAAGCCTGGTCTTCTCCTTGGGCGGGCGCTCGTCGAGCGGTGGCAGCAGCAGCAGCAGCAGCAGCAGCGATGCTCCGGCGTCTCAGCCTGTTCTGATCGACTGCAAGGGCAGCAAAGTTGGTGTTGCTGAAGCCCCCGGAAAGCTACAGTTCGACTCGGCATCGAATTATTGGGGCTCGTGGAAGGCCACTGATCTTTGATCGCTGCTTGCAGCGACTCGAGAGAATGTGTGGAGGTTCGAGCGCTGCTGAGGGAAAGGGAACGCATTTGTAGGAAGTGTTGTGGACAGGACAGCTAGAGGCTAGAGAGTTTCGTTGCGCTTGCCGTACTCGACTCTGTCGGGGAACAAAAAGCCTGCCCCGAAAGCAGCGGCTTTGGGTCGTGCGTAGAGACAGAACCAACCGTGGGTCACATATTCATTCGTGTGCGGCCATAGTGGTTGGCAGTTTGATGTCGCGTTTGCGAGTCTCGTGATGGTATGTGCACGTGAGAGGTTTTTGTGGTCACTTGGAAAACTCGTCCACGACACGGTTGTTGCCATACGCGGAACGTCGTCGTATGTTGGCACGGCAGCGTGTCTATCTGTGTGTAGCGTTCATAATCGTACTTTCCACATGCATCAGGGCACCTTCCTTTCCGAGCAGTTCTTTCCCGGCGAAGGCGAAACTCTTACTCTTTGCTTGTTGTATCCACGTGCGTGCGTTCGATCTAGTGGACCACAATCTTGGTGTCTCTCCTCCAAGTTTGTGCAGGTCTTTCGTACCCGACAGGCAGAAGAAGCACTGGCAACAAAGAGTGTTCCTTGGCTCCGGCTCTTTTGGTATTTGCCTTCGCTGGTAGGGGACTGGCTGCATGCCGCGGTAGGCGATATTGAAAGCGACGATTCTTTCCATTTGTCTCTGGGATAGGACCCTATCGTGGTCGCCTGAGGCCGACAGCATCAACATCCGTACATTTTGTTGTATGACACCTCGTGTTCATGCTACACCGTCATGCCTCACGTGCCATCCTCTCAATGATCTGGTTTAATGTATCGGGCAAACGTCATACATGTCATGCACAGAAAGCCATTGGGATTCCGAAGACGAATGGTCCACCGTCTCTCGCGCAAAACAATGTGGACCCCTACCTCTCACGTTCACGAACAGGGAGACATAAGACAGACGAATACAACTCACACGACCCTAACTGCACCAGGTAAACAAACACACAAAATACTGTAAATTACTTCCCTCGAAAAAAGAACGAACGAGTATTGTATGTACGCTGACGCACACCAGCAAAACATCATCATCTCTCGTTCTCCACACACTCGTCCACCCACCCTTTCCTCAACTATCTACCCGAAATCAGGTGCATGAGCAACCAAACCACTTTGGTGAACAAGCACAAACCCCAACAACAGACTACCGAGACCATCCATACACTCCTCCTTCACCCACCCCGCTCCCTACCCTACCCCTACTCATCCCCCGCCCCTCCTCCGTACAATTCCGCCATCCTAGCGTGGTGCTCCCTGCTGGTCAATCTCGCCGCAAGAGCACGCACCCAAACATGCTGGGCCTCCACCGACTCCGCGCGAATGACGAGCGTGCCCGTTTCGGTCGGGTTGCGGAAGACCACCAACGCCACTGCGTCCCGTTCGTTGGTCACGTCTTCGCCCTTACCCCCCCCGCCGCCGCCCCCAGTCCCTGCGCCGCCTACCCCGCCACCCGCCCTGCCCCAAGGCGTGAAGGGGGGCGTCACCAGCGCCACCCTACTCGGATCAAGCTGCACGGACTCCTTCACCCTGGTCTTGGTGCGCGTGCGGAACAGCGTCAACCGAGTCGCGTCCAGAACGCACCAGCGCTTGCGGACTTTGGGGGCTCCGTTTGCCCTCGCTCTGATGGCCATGGCGGCCCGGGAGATGCCCCCGCCCCCGCCGCCGCCTCCGCCGCCGCCCCCTCCGCCCCCTCCTCCGGTCGGCGACAAGGCTCCGCCAAGCGAGCTGTCGCCGTGTGAGAGCGTGTGTTTCAAATCATATGCGTAAGTGATTGGTTGATCACCATGCACAGAGGGAGAGCGGACACCAACGGAGGCGGATGCAGTAGAAGGATGAGAAAGAGGGGAACAAAGGGTGTTTCGGTGCGCAGCACACGCACGGCTGCTCGGCTTAACTCAAGTTTAGGCTGCCGTACAGCAGTATTAGTGTAGGCAGCAATCGATCCACCGTGATACACGCAGCTTGGCCCGCGTAAAAACGTAAAAAATCTCACCCTTGTCCGAAGCCGTATCCCATGTCCACCGCAGCAGAAGACTGCGGGGCGACGTGTTGGCTGTGCGTGTAGTACGTCAGCAAGAACGCGCCCATGCGTTCCGTGCCGACGGCGCTGCTCAAACAAGGTGACGCAAGCGATCGAGAAAAAAGGTATTTAAAAATCTAAAACGATATAGCGGGTTCAGGTACAGCTGTTAGAGGGAAAACCAGGGATTCTTACGAAGATGAAGGTCAACCAATTCCGTCGACCAAGTCCGCTTCACTTCGACGAAACACTTGTCCAGATTCTTGGCGGGCCTTCCGCTCTAAAGTCATCCTGGGGCACCCGCGAGTGCAGCCTAAAACTCGGGTATTTGTCCCCAGCCACAAAACGCCTCGTAAACCAAGCCTCTTCCCGAGCCCTGAACAACACGCGCAGCCAGGCTGCTCCCATAGTCCCCTGTTTCTCTCTCACCTTTGGACCTGCAACTGTTCCTGCATGCGCGTCGTGATCGCGCGCTCTAGGTTCAGCCGGAAACCGTCCCCTCCCGCCACCGACGTCCCGCTGGCGTGCCGGCTGCTGGAACCCCTCTCTTCTCCGCCGGGAGCGCTCATGCCGCCGCTGTCGCTCGACCTTCGCCCTTGGGTGTTTTCTGTCGCTGTGGTGGGGGCTGCTGCTGCTGCCCTGTGCTCTCTGCTTCGTGACGGGGCTTGTCGACCACTGTAGATACGGAATCCAAGCCGGGGAGCGTGAACGTGCGAACGCAAACCAGCTCTTATACATGTGCACTTGGTATATACTACGGGGCAGAACTGAAGCTAAGCTGCCAAAAACATGCGTCGTCGAGAGTGGCTACGGCAGGTACAGACGGAGAGCGATAGCCCATACTTGGGAGACATAGCAGTCGCTGTGCCAACTCTTGTGTGACAAGACCACCAAGTCGTTACATAAAACCGAACGCTGCTTAGTGGCCGCTAGATCAAGCAGAGCGGCCCCTTGGTTACCGTCGAAAACCAACTCGTAGAAAGGCCTGTGCGCGTTGCAATCCTGCTTGCGCTTCTACGAATCTAGCCCCTCGCGACCACACCGCACAACGTTTCGGCATCCTCTCGCACCTCTGTCCCTGCTGCGAGCTCGGTTCATCCCTTCCACGTCTGGCACGCGCAGACTCCTCCCGCTGCTCACCCGCCCAGATCGTTCTGCTCAACCTCGAGGAAGCGCCTTCCGCCGTGGCGGCGATTTGGGAGGCTTGCAGCGTGGCCGTGGATGGGGTCCAGCCTCTGCGTCATGTGATCGCGACATGGCCAATGTATCCATATTACGTTTGGGTCGTGGGACAGGAGGGGGGCAGCGAAAGGTCCAATTGGTGAAAACGCGAGACTACTTACAAGTATGATCCCACGTACAAGTAGGCACGCGGGTCGACCGACGTGTCCAAAAAAGGGCGTGTTCCAGATGGCACGCCGGAAGCCGTCTATTCGGACCACGCTTACACAAGGTTATCCGTTTCTCAGGACTGTCATAAGAAAAAAAACGGCACACTCCACGACAACAGTGACGCAAGAAAATCCCGTATTTCATTCGTCGTAGGTTTCCTTGTACCGCGCACGAGGCCCCTTCTCGACAGCCCAACAGGCCGCATCTGCATCTCACAACTGCTGTCGACCAACAAACACGCGTTAAGCGGTAGCAAACCCACCTTGCATCCCCCAAGAACGCCGCGAACGCCCTCGTCCTCAGCAGGACCCTCAAGAACGGGCGGAGGTCGGCCTTCGCGAACGACAAGAATCCGAGCACGTCGAACTCCACGTCGCTCTCTTGCCCGTGCCCCGCGCGCCCGCCACCCCCGCCGCCCCCGCCGCTTCGCTCCACGGCGGCAGCGCTTCCTCCTGCGACGGTGGTCGCGGCGTCGTCGCCGTAGTCCTCTTCGCCGCTGCCGCTATCCGGGGGGCGGATGAAGATGTGGTAACCCTTGAAAAAGGTCACCATCATGTTGAAGAGGAACAGCCTGGAAGCGAGGGGGTGGATAGATGCGCGGTTGTTGGGCGGTGGGGTGAGGCGGGGAAGATGGGAGGGGCAGAGACCACGCGGCAATATTGGGAGAACACCCTGTCTTTGTGTGTGCACGCGCGTGTATATCGTATTTTGCATGACCGCACTAACCGGCTGACCAATGAAAAGACGCGCGCGCGTGTGTGTGTGTGTGTGTGGGGGGGGGGGGGGGGGGGGGTCATCCTTGTCTTGCGCTTCCTAAAAAAAAGAAGATTATCTTAAGGCACGCCGACTGGGCGCGTCGCAACTCTCGGTGCATCCTTGTGAAACTCGGTGTCAGGTGGATGGGTACTGTGGTGCCCATCGCAGTTTTTGAGCCCTCCTCAACCCGT